CTTAGCACGTGGCTGCCCCGTTTGCACAAAGCTGGGAAAGACGGAGGGCTCTACCAATCGCGTCCCCACAGCTTCCCAGCCTTGCTCACTATCAGTACTGGAATCCTAAGATCCCACATCTCGGTCCATTCATAAAGAGCCAATTGCAGGCGTTTACAGCCTCAGTTTGCCTGTGCAGTGAAGGGAGAGGGCATTTAATCCTTTCTCCTTGCCTTGGCTTTGCTGTTGAAACAGGGCTCCCCGCTTTGCCATCACTTTCAGAGGGGAAAGTATGGCTTTAGAAGAACGTACACTTCCTTCTTTAAATACTAGTAACAGAGCAGAGGTTTGAAATAGCGAAGCTGAGTGGGAGTTCAGGGGTTAAACCTGCTCTCCCTTCCCCGCGTGGCACCTAGACAAATTGAGGCTGCCAAAGCCTGCAGCTTACATTTTTATAGAAGGAAATATGATCTGTTTGAAACCTGAGTTAGCTAGGAAGGGCCGAGTCAGCAAGGTGTGAGCTGAATGCTGGGGAGGGAGCGTTATAGGTTTTCTCTAAAATTCAGGTTTTTCCCTCCCAAGACTTGGGTCAGACCTGGGTCTAAATGTTGCAGTTTCTAGCATGACCCTAAGTACCTTAACTTGGCCTGCAAGGGTTTGTCAGCCTGTTAAATTGTATTTAGGCATATGCTGTGTTGCGTTGATGCTAAGTTGCAGAGAGACTTTGGTAACTTTGCCAATGCCTGGTGTTCCCCATATTCTCCTTTGACTTCTCGACATCCCTTCCGCTTGCTGCCATCTCGCCTCTTAAACCTCCCCTTTCTCCTCCCGGGTCTCCCCTCAGACAAGTACGCAGTCCGCTTTATCCCCCGCGAGAACGGCATCTACTCCGTCGACGTCAAGTTCAACGGCAGCCACATCCCCGGCAGCCCCTTCAAGATCCGTGTCGGGGAGGTGGGCCAGACCGGAGACCCAGGGATGGTTTCTGCCTATGGCCCCGGCTTGGAGGGCGGTGTGACAGGTGAGGGCCGAGGAAACGGGAGCAGGAGGCCGGCATCCAAAACACCAAAGCGGGGCGAGCTAGTCCGTCTCACCCTGGATTCCGGCCCATCTCCTCCCCTGCAGGGAATCCCGCTGAGTTCATCGTCAACACCACCAACGCGGGTCCTGGGGCGCTGGCGGTCACCATCGACGGTCCCTCTAAGGTGAAGATGGACTGCCTGGAGTGTCCGGAAGGCTACAAGGTCATCTACACACCCATGGCACCGGGCAGCTACCTCATCTCCATTAAGTATGGCGGCCCGTACCACATCGCCGGCAGCCCCTTCAAGGCCAAAATCACAGGTAAGTGCCGTGCGGGTCTCAGCTGGGGGCTCTCCTAGGACATTGGCCTTCTTAGAGAACCCGGGAGCCCAAGGGGGTAGGGTTCCCATTTGCCCGCTTGAGGCGAGAGATATCCAGGGCGCCGGCAGCACTTGCCCTACAGTGCCCGGCTGATGGGCGCGCAGAAATTGGGGCCGAAGTAGGTGGCCGTAGTCATCCTGGGAAGAAAAATCCAAAGGAAAGAGGAGGCCTCCTCCATTGTAGAAAGTTCCGCCCATGTTAGCCATTACTGGAAACTCTATGGTCAGAACTTCCTGTGAGTGGCGGAGGCCTAGTTTTTCTCCTGGGACGCTTCCTCCCCACCACCGCAACCCTTCCACCAGTTGCCAGGAACTGCCTGGACAGCCCTCGCCAAGGACCGCCATTCCATGTTGGTCTAGGGGCGGTGGTCTTGAACGGATGCAGGCGGGGCAGAAGGCATTTTGGCCCAGGGCTCATCTCGAGCCAGTTTGGTTAAAAGCGCAGACTCTTAATCTGGGAGAACTGGGTTAAATTCCCCACTCCTCCACATGCCGCTGCTGCTGTGAACTTGGGTCAGCCACAAGTCCTCTCAGAGCTGGTTCTCTCAAGGGCAGTTCTCCGGAGAGCTCTCTCAGCCCCACCTACCTCACAGGCAGCGTTCCCTCGAAGCTGAGTGAGTGTGAGCCAGCTCACTGTTTCTTAGCCTCCAGCTCATATGTTTTTGTCTTCGCTCAGGAAGGGTGGCTCCAGAGCAAACTAGTCTATGCAGCACTCACAATTTGAGTGCCCGTAGCTCGCAAAGTAGAATTTTTGCTCACAGGACTCCACAGCTTAAGAAGAAGAAATTGGATTTATACCCCGCCCTTCACTCCCCAAAGGAGTCTCAGAGCGGCTTACAAACTCCTTTCCCTTCCCCTCCCCACAACAGACACCCTGTGAGGTAAAAGAAGAAGAAGAGGAGATGGGATTTATACCCTACCCTTCACTACCCAAAGGAGTCCCAGAGCGGCTCACAATCTCCTTTCCCTTCCCCTCCCCACAACAGACACCCTGTGAGGGAGGCGGGGCTGAGAGAGCACTTTTGATGACTGCCCTTGAGAGAACAGCTCTGAGAGAGCTTGTGACTGAAGAAGAGGAGATCGGATTTATAAACCTGCCCTTCACTACCCAAAGGAGTCTCAGAGCGGCTTACAGACTCCTTTCCTTTCCCCACAACAGACCCCCTGTGAGGCAGGCGGGGCTGAGAGAGCTCTGACAGAAACTGCTCTTTTTCAAGAACAGCTGTGCCAGAACTACGGTGCAAGTGGAAGAGTGGGGAATCACTCCCAGATTAGAGTCCGCACACTTAACCACTACACCAAACTGGCTTAGAGGAGGGAGCATTGCTCATGGTGAGCCTGTTGTGTGGAGGGGAAGGGAAAGGATACTGATAAGCCGCTCTGAGACTCCCTTCAGGTAGTGGGCGGAGTATAAATGCAGCCTCTCTTCTCCTCCTTCGGTGCTGACGTCACCTCCCTCCCTCCCTCCCGCAGGTGCCCGCCTGGTCAGCAGTCACAGCCTCCACGAGACGTCCTCCGTCTTCATGGACAGCATCCCCAAGGCCGAAGGAGCGGCGCCCAAGTTTGCCTCCGATGTCAGCAAAGTGGTGGCCAAGGGGCTGGGCCTCAACAAGGGCTTTGTGGGACAGAAGAACTCCTTCACGGTGGATGGCAGCAAAGCAGGTCGGTCGGCTCCTCTTGTCGCCTTTGCGTTCTTTAGGACACCAAAATGAAGTTTCTAGTCCTTGGTGATCAGCAGAGCTTTAGAAAGGTCGGGGTCCAGGTCGGGGGTCCCCAGCGTTGTGCCCGTAGGTATCACGGCGCACCTTTCCCGGAGCCCGCCAAGTTGTTGTAGGAAGTGGGCCCCACTTTGGCCGATAAGGCTTCTGATTGGCTGAGATTTTTTTCTAAAAAAAATTGCTTTGGCGGCGGCTGCCACCACACCTGGAGAATTTTCACAGCTCGACCGTCGGTGAGCTGTGTATATGAAAGAACAACATGTCCGTTTCAAAAGGCTTCCTGTTAAAACAGCACAGTTCGATTTAAGTCCAGGAGCGCCTTAGGGTCCAAGAAGGTTTTCAAGTCATAGGAACACAAGAGAAGCCATGTTGGAGCAGGCCAACGGCCCATCCAGTCCAACACTTTGTGTCCCACAGCGGCCAAAACCCAGGGGCCATCAGGAGGTCCACCAGTGGGGCCAGAACTCCAGAAGCCCTCCCACTCTTGCCCCCCACCCCCAAGCACCAAGAAGACAGAGCATCACTGCCCCAGACATAAGAACATAAGAGAAGCCATGTTGGAGCAGGGCAACGGCCCATCCAGTCCAACACTCTGTGTCCCACAGCGGCCAAAACCCAGGGGGCCATCAGGAGGTCCACCAAGCGGGTCCAGAACTCCAGGAGCCCTCCCACTGTTGCCCCCCCAAGCACCAAGAAGACAGAGCATCACTGCCCCAGACATAAGAACATAAGAGAAGCCATGTTGGAGCAGGGCAACGGCCCATCCAGTCCAACACTCTGTGTCCCACAGCGGCCAAAACCCAGGGGGCCATCAGGAGGTCCACCAAGCGGGTCCAGAACTCCAGGAGCCCTCCCACTGTTGCCCCCCCAAGCACCAAGAAGACAGAGCATCGCTGCCCCAGACATAAGAACATAAGATAAGCCATGTTGGATCAGGCCAATGGCCCATCCAGTCCAACACTCTGTGTCACACAGGGGCCAAAACCCAGGTACCCTCATGAGATCCACCAGCAGGGCTAGAACACCAGAAGCCTTCCCAGCGTTGCTCTCCAGGCACCAAGCATCTTTGCCCCAGAGCCCCTATCTATACCTTGTGGCTAACAGCCACTGATTGGACCTCTGCTCCATATGCTTATCTAATTCCCTTTTGAAGCCGTCCATGCTTGTAGCTGCCACCACTTCCTGTGGCAGTGGATTCCATGTGTTCATCACTCTTCGGGTGAAGATGAGAAGAGGACCCAGCCCTGCAGCACAACCTGTTTATTTGAACCTGACCATGATATAAAAAATGCTCCGAGCATTCACCAAGAACGGCAGTGTACCTGTGGCGTCCTCTCTTTTCGGAGGACTGGTTTTCCCTTTAACTGTGCTCTTTGCTTTATTAAACTGGGTAGATTCGGCTGCCACCAGGAATTTAAGGATTTCCAAACCTTCTCTCTGTTCCTCTTTCTGGTAAAGTAACCCAGGGTCTAGGCTTTTTAGGGATCCATGTGGTCTTGAGGAAGGATTGAATTCAGTTCTGGGATAACTTAAACAAAAGATGATTTATTGAACTAAGAACAAAATATGAGTTTGGTAATTCTGTAACTGTTTAGGATAAAGGGACTTGTAAATATGTTGTTCAAATGTATGACACACACAGCCTTTTTTCCTTTACTTTTGTTTGTTTGACACTCAGTTCCAACATTAACAGGGTTCGCTCTTTCCTTTAGAGTCAGCCACTCAGGCTCAGGACCTATATATTGCCCTCTTTGAGAGCTCACACAGAACTCTAATAACCCTCACTGACTGAACACCAACTGAACACTTCCAACTAACTTTCATAACTGTCATAACTAACACACTGACACACCCACACAGATTCACTTCAAAAATTCCTCCCACATTCTCTCATCCTCCAATCACAGCACACTTGTCTCTCTCAGTCACTCTACTCTGCATTCACTGCACTGCAACCAAACATTTAAAGAGACACACACACTCTTAAAACAAGGAATCGTACCATACCCAATTAAGAAAGAGACGTCTCTTGACCATCACCCGAAGACCCCCAAAGGGCGTTTGGGAGATGGTGCTGAACAACAGAACCTGTTGTTGTTGTTGTTCAGTCGCACAGTCAAGTCCGACTCTTTGCGACCCCGTGGACCAGATCATGCCAGGCCTTCCGGTCTTCCGCCGTCCTCTGAAGTTTGCTCAACTTCATGTTCGTTGCATCTATGACACTGTCTAACCATCTCATCCTTTGCCGTCCCCGTCTTCTTTGACCTTCAATCTTTCCCAGCATCAGGGTCTTCTCCAGTGAGTGCTCCCTTCTCATTTGGTGGCCAAAGTATTTGAGCTTCAGTTTCATTATCTGGCCTTCCAGGGAACAGTCAGGGTTGATTTCTTTGAGGATTGACTGATTTGATCTCCTTGCAGTCCAAGGAACTCTCAAGAGTCTTCTCCAGCACCATAGTTCAAAAGAATCTATTCTTCGGCGCTCGGCCTTCCTTATAGTCCAACTCTCGCAGCCATACATGACTACTGGGAATACCATTGCTTGGACCATGCAGACTTTTGTTGGCAGGGTGATGTCTCTACTTTTTATCATGCTGTTGAGGTTCGCCATCGCTTTCC